AATTGTGTATTATATAAAAACATTTTTTAGACTTTGAAAAACGTTTACAATTTTTTGTTGCAATAAATTTGTAAAAAAATAGACAATTTCTATGTATTATTACTTATTACTTATTTAAATCACGAAACGTACAATGCTAGAAACAGTTTATATTAACATATATTTCACAATTTAGTGTATTTATAATATAAATCTCTGGCATTTAGAAAGTATTAATAATATGAGAAAAATGCATGTTATGGAATGAAATTATAAGTTCGATCGATTTTTTGAACAAAATTCAAACGCATATTGTTGTAAAGCATAAAACTTTATTACTGCACAATTCATGCGTTTCACGAACGAATTTATATATGGTCTTACTCAATAGATAGTATGTATATGTTTTTTATTTTTTATCGGTTAACCTATGATCGAAATAAGATTATGAAACCAATTTCTCATTTGGAGAAATGTAAAAAAAAAAACATTGCTCACATATTTTTAAGTTAAATATATTTTATTTCCGCGGAAATTGCTTGAAAATAAAATTCAGATAGGAAAGATCCTATACTTTTAGAGTTAAGAAAGACAAGAATCTTCATACATTCCATAATAATTAATTTTTTCCCTTTTGTCATGTTTTATTGTTAAAATAGATAGATATACTAATAATGTAAAATTTATTAAAATATATTGATAAAATGACATTAATATTATAGCCATTTGTAGGACCCAACTTTATTCTTTAGAAATTTTACTATTTTTACAGATTTCATGAGATATGCTACATCATATCTAAATCAGGTGTTGGAAAAAGTAAAGCCACTTTTAAGAGGTAATGGAGGACCAATAATTATGGTTCAGGTAACATTTAATTACAAGATAAAATAATATTTAACTTACGCAACACATATATCATAGAGATTATCTCTTAAAAATATTTATTGTGTTTTTCGAGATAGTGTTGTTTTACAATTATGTAATTACTCTACGCTGATAGCAATTTGATATTGATAAAGATAAAAATCCGATAATATTGTTTGTAATTAACAATAAAGCTGATAATTACACAAGTAGATTGAAACGATGAATTGAAAATTAATGTAGATATTTATTTTAATATTTTTATTTTGATGTGTCAATTTTCAATTTCATCGGGCCATCATTTCACTACTGTCATCCTAATTTCAGTCGTATTAATAGGTAGAAAACGAATACGGAAGTTACAATGCTTGTGACACTGAGTACTTGGACATGTTGAAAGAAGTTTTTGTTAGAAAAATTGGCGATAAAGCTCTTCTGTACACAACCGACGGCGGAAGCTTATCTTACATTCGCTGCGGATACATACCTGGAGTATATGCCACCGTTGATTTTGGAACGTCTGCAAACGTGACTAGCAGTTTTCAAGCTATGCGCTTTTATCAGCCGAGAGTAAGCGATATTGTTATTTAAGAAATTATTAATTATACTGTACGACACAAACCTTGAGATTTAAAAAATCACTTCTTATGTACTTTTGATTTGGCTGCTAAGCACGAATCTGGGTGTGAAATGTTTCTGTCACACGTCAGAATTTTGAGAAATTTGAAAACTGTAAAAGTTATTGAAAATTGCAATTTTGACATTTGTTGATAATTAGTAACTCTGGACTGGGATATGCTACAAACTTTTACAAACTTTGAAATGTGAAAGATCTATACTACCGCTATAGGATAAAAAGTAAGCCAAACACAAGGATAGTTTTACGTCCATTAAATTTGTAAAACTTAATTTTATAACAATATATGGAGAGGGAAGGCCAATGAACGGTCTTATTAGGATCTTATTAGTACTTCTAATATTTCTATGTGAATTTTACATACATACGTATTCTAGTTTCAACGAACTGTGTGCCGTTACTTTCGGTTTCAACGCAGCTCTTTGCTTGAAACAGAACAGTATTATCACGTTATTAAATTGATAATCAATTTAGTAAGTACTGATACTTACCGCGGCATCTAATATAAAATCCTCCCTCCCCGCGTCGCGGAGGAAATTCACATAGATTCGAAATATTAGAAGCACCAAGATCCTGCTATGACCGTTCATTAACCTGCTCTCAATCTATTGTGTTAAAATACTTATACGGTCGTAATATACATACTACACACACATATATATATATATATATATATATATACATTGTTAATTTTAGAAATTTTAAAAATTTTGTTGACCATATTAAATCCGCTATTTTGAATTTAAATTTACGTTTAGTAATCTTAAAAATCATAATGCCATATTTTGTGGAAATTTGTCTTTTAGAATTAAATGTGGTAAGGTTAATTTCAATAAGATTAAGTACAATCTTAAAACTATCCGTGCATGTTTAGTTTATTTTTTATTCTATGCGGCAGATTTAGATCTTTCATTTTTTGCGGAAATTTGTAGAATTACCAATTTGCAGAGTTATTAATTATCGAAAAATGCCTGCAAAAATTGCGATTTTTAACAAAACTTTCATATAGCAGATTTCTCAAAATCCTGATGTGACAGAGACATTTCACATCCGGATTAGTAGAGCGTTTAGCAGTCCAAAATATACATTTAAGAAATGGCTCGTAAAACCTTAAGGTAAAAATAAATTTATTTTTGTTGCTGAATATTATTTAATAAAAATTAAGATGTTGGATTCAAGTTTGAAAATTACGTAGGGTCCGTTGGTGAATTCTGAATTCTACCCAGGTTGGTTAACGCATTGGGGAGAGACTTTCCAAAGGGTAAAAACGGGAGCTGTTACAAAAACGTTAAGAGAAATGCTCGCTGTAGATGCTTCCGTTAACTTTTATATGTTTTACGGGGGTACAAACTTTGGTTTCACTTCGGGTTAGTAAACTTTTTGTTGATTCCGACAAATTAGCAATAAGTAAAATTATATCCCCGTAAAAATAATATTTAAGGCAGTTAATTAATTGATTATATCGGCAAATGTATTTTATTCAATCATGTAATCATCGATAGGAGCTAACGGTGGAGCAGGCGTATACAGTCCACAATTGACTTCGTACGATTACGATGCTCCTTTAACCGAAGCTGGAGATCCGACAGATAAATACTTTGCTATAAGGAATGTCATTGGTGACGTACGTTTGTGATTTTTCTTTTTCTTTTTGTGATATACATACGTACATTTTCCGTTTGATATTTCGTGTTCTACAAAAAGATCGATTACATCTTTTCGGCTGCAACCGCGTTGCCCCAAACGGAATTAAAATAATAAATATATATATCTATTTTCATATATCTTATATCTAACGTGAAATGTCATTTCACATGGACGCAATTTGAAATTACAGTATCTGCCGTTGCCAAATATGTCCCTTCCAACTGCATCTCCAAAAGGTAATTACGGTCCAGTATTTTTGGAACCGGTACTGAAATTGCTCGACAGTCGATCTCCATTCGTGATGATCCAAGAGACTAGCGATCAACCTAAAACCTTTGAGGCTCTTTCGGTCAACCAAGGATTTGTCCTTTACGAGTCGAACTTGCCGCCTTCTTTCTCGGACCCAGCTATACTGCGAGCAATGACAATGGACAGGGCGCTGGTTTACGTGGATAATCGACTATGCGGCACTCTGAGTCGTATTGATAAGATATTTACTATACCATTAGTGAACCCTTACGGCCGTCGCTTGAGTCTATTGGTGGAAAATCAAGGACGTTTGAATTTCGGCAATGAAATTCATGATTTCAAGGTATCAAAGAAAGTATTATAATAGAATACTATGTATGTATATTATTATAGAGAAATGTGAATCAAAGTTTTTTGACGTCGAAACAAAACGAATTTTATTTTTTAGTTTGAATACGTATCGAATCATTAAAATATAACTTCTATTTAACAACATAATTATTGTTTGTTGAATATTTTAATGTAATAAAGAATAATAAAGAATATAAAGATAATAAAGAAAGAGCTCCATGTAAAAAAAATAATGATTATATGATATAAAGTCATTTTAAACATACATATTTAAATATTTAATATAAAACTGATAAAATTTATTTTACAAATTGACAATAAAGCCACGGTACATGCCAAAAATTGTAAATAAGACTGCAGTTACGATAATCCATATGAGTCTGGTGCGCAGTTAAACATACATACATACATGTAATGTAACTAATAAAATTGACGGATATCAAAAGTCAGTCGACCGACTGTAAAGTCAATAGAAATCAATAGAAGTCAATAGAAATAAGTCAATAGAAATTAAAGCTAATTTTCGAATTCACAACCAATTATAATTATTTGTACGTCTCTCCGAACGTATCTTAAAGGAATGTCTCTCATTTTTGCAGCACTGTTTTACTTATTAGCGGCAAATTTGATTTTACGAGATTGTCAATATGTAATTTAAACTCTTATTGTTAGATTCAAAATTTTGAATAGTCTGCATTTGAATCATTAAAGACTCGAATTCGAATTGAATTAAAATTCGATACGATTTGTATTCAAATAGTTTGCACATCTCCAACATGTACGATCGTAGTGACAATCTTTTTTTAAACTATTTATTATCTTTATTCATATATTGCGCGTCTATGATAATACATAAATTTATAATGCGATTCAACAAATGTGGGCATTTTAACGTTAAAACGAAATATTTTGCGATATTTGACTTCTTGCATTACATCTTATATAGGGGATATCGAACGTAACTATCAGCGGCACACCACTGACCGGCTGGAATATGACAGGGTTCGCATTTTCCGATGTATCCTCTCTCCGGAACATGGCAACCATACGCATTGACAGCGGTACTTTGAACAACGGTCCGGTATTTTTACGTGGACAATTCACGATCGTCGGACAACCGTTGGACACGTTTCTGGACACTACC